CCCCAAAACCCCAAAACCCCAAAACCCCAAAACCCCAAAACCCCAAAACCCCGCAAACTCGAATACAGACTGAAAGCCCATATAGGCTTAATTATGGCTATTTTCCTGTAAATTTTCCTCAAGAGCTAATACAAGCCACTGCAAGTTCTATTGTGGGTTTCTACGACCTTTGGGAAGTACTCATCAATCTTGCTCTCCTTTAAGCGAGGTCTCTTCAAGTCTCTGCCATCGACAGAGCAGTTTTGCTTGGCAAGTTTACTGGCAAAGTACGTCTTACGAAGTCTCTTGTTCCTTTTAATCTTCTTTATAGTCCTTCTACTGGCTTCACGCCTCATAGGAGTCACTTGTGAAGTCTTCTGTCTATACTTAAGAGAGGGATTCATCAAGAGTGCAGCTGGTGAAATCCTACTCGTCATTTTCTCGTCTTCTTGAATTTTGACAGCTTTGTGGGATTTAGCGGCCTATGGAGTTTTAGATAAATTCTTTGACTTTCTTGGGGTCACAAAAAATTTAAATTGCTCCATTTTGTTGAAATTTGTGTCTTGGTAGTTTTCATTGAGGAGATTAAAGTAATATTACAATTGATGTAGTCCTAATTCAAAAGGAATGCTTTGCTTAATGCTCCAAGATTAGGTCTGATTTAATAATAAAAAAATTGAATGATTTGGCTCACCTTTTCTTTCTTTTGCCATGCTTTAGTTCTACTACTTTTTGTAATGTACGAGTATGGCCTAGCATGTTTTGCTCTGAGATCATAAGACTCATTGGAATTATGTGAATATCACTTCTTGGAAGCTTCAAAGCTATTGCTATTCAGCTGCTCCAAGATGCCAGTTGTACGGTTACAAAGCTTGTTACTATAAGGTTGACTCTTAGTCTCTATCTTCATGACTACAATTCTGTCATGGATATATTGCGGAATTCTATGATCTTCCTTAATTTTCTTCACCATCCTTCTGGCAGATTGTTTCCTCGGCGGATTATGACGACGAGGTGTCTCCTTCCTAGGAGCTCTCCTTAAATTTATTGCCTTCATCTTCTTTACCTTCTTAGGTGTTGATTGAATTTTCGGCTTGTTTTCTAACTCGAGTTCTGCTCATAACTCGTCAATTTGTGAATACCTAATATTAAATGTCAATTTTTGTATATATTTCATCAAGATCTTATGTTCTAAACTTATTAAGAAAGCTGAAAATGTATGGGACCACTTTATTCAGAGCATGTTGATTCTTTTAACTAGTGAGCACTTTGGGAAATTATCTTAACATTTTGGATATATTTTATACCAGATTTCCTTAGTGATTTGTTTTATAAGCCAGTTTAAAACCCTAGCGACTCAAATGTTTGGGTCTAAATCCTAGATACTGTATGACCAGAATCAATGAAAGTACTCTTCCTTGGTCTCTTTCAGCCAAACTGGTAAGTTAAGTAGTGTATAACACACTTAAGGGAATGAGCCGAATCAATATTTTGAGATTAACAATTGCACATACTCTTTTTCATACTTCCTCACTAGGTTCTTATGAGCCAAGGAATTCAGATGCTCGGTATATTTATACACTTCTACCTTACAGATAGTGCACGTAGTAGGGTTATTCAGCGGCTTTTGCTCCTTGATATGGCTATTTCATGGAGGAATTTGTTTTAATTTATGGATATTGGATTCGTATTTGTTAAGCAACTTCGCAAAATCCTCAATACCAACCTCATTCTCTTGAGCAGTCTGAAAGATAGAAGTCCCTTCTGGAGCATCTAGGTTTATCTGAGACACATCATATCTGTTTATTTTATGGTTGAACTGAAAAGTATGGCTATGCATAGACTTTTTATCTTTTTGCGCAATAATTTTTGTGACCACAAAATGGGCTGCATCTTTGCCTCTTAAGGGCACAAAGCCTCGTTCAATATGCCAATCAAGGGTACTCGATTCAAGTAGGTTAAGTTTGTACTCCAAATCAGATACTTTTATCAAGTTCCATTTCTTTCAGTCCATGAACTCGTATAGATTGTTAAATTGCGGCATTGGCTTTGATTCTTTACTGGAAATTTGCTTTGGTTCTTTCATAATGATTTTAGAGCTGTTTACAAAGCTGGATGAAGACGAAAACATGCGCATTGATCTTTCATTCATGTACTTCTTCCGCTCAGAAATTGAGCTCCTAGCATTATTTTCTCAAACATTATTTTCTGAAGGTCCCGCCTCATCTAAAAAGGCGCCTTCCTGCAGTAGAGATTTATTGGACATCTTAAAGGTTTGGTCTGACACTACTAAAAAGCTAATGGATTTCGATACTGAGTACGAAATCTCTCCATTCAGTTTCTTGATTCTTTTAATCAGCTCTTTCTTCTTAGGCTGTGACTTAGAGTGGGGAAGATAGATATGGAACTTAATCTTTGCTAAATTCATGTGCTTATCCAACACATTATTTGCCGTACGCAGCTCTTGTTTTAAGCTCAGAAGCATAATGAGTGCACCTGTTTAATTTCTTGAATAAATTCTTGTAAATTGAGTCTATTTTGAGTGGCTTTTCAGCCCTATTGTCACTCTTCCTGCGATTATCAGCAATATTCATTTTGAAAATATCTAATTATATATCGAATTCAAGTGTTGGGGGTTGACTCGGGGTTTTGGGGTTTTGGGGTTTTGGGGTTTTGGGGTTTTGGGG